TTTTAAATACTGTGTGAAAACACTTTTTGCTTTTTCTTATCTTCGCCTTACAACTGTTGGGTTGGCTACTATCATTAATCATATATACTTAGTAGGGAGTCAGTAAAACTTTTTGGTACAAGGCTAAATTATAAATATATCGTTAATCCTTAACCTGTAGAAGATGGAAATACTTTGTTGCAATCGAAATAGCGGTCAAATCCCTGTCAGCAAGCAAGAATAAGGTAATGTGAACCTAATTTCAATAAGGTGGAATCAAACATTTTTCTACTAACTTTTGATGTAAATAATATTTAAAAATTTTAAGTTTGCGCTTCTATGACAGGCAGCATTTTCCACACAGGCTTCTTTAAAACATGATCGTCGAGAACTCCATTGCAGCGCAGCAAACTATTTTCTTGTTCTACAAGGTAAGAATGAACGAAATATTTCTAATTTTACCTTTGGCAAATAACACACCTAAAAGTGTCACTAGCTACCCTGCCAATACTATCAAAAGCAAAAACAAAATGTCATTTGCGGATTTACGGATGTACCTATAATTGGAACTCAGTGTATGAAACATAACAACAATAAATTTTTATGATTTTAAGAAGTAGAATTTGCGTAATAGAGATCAGCAATAACGGGAAAAGTCTATTATTGTTAGGTACACGGTAAATTTCTCGTCTTATTTGAAGTTATAAATGTGACGATGTATGATAAACATTCAGATCACATTTGTGTATTAATTGGAATACATTTTAAAACCACAAAAATATTGTTCAAATAAGCAAATAAAACGCCTAGTTAATTAAATAAATTCAAAACGAAAAACACTGATTATAACTATAATAATAACAACAATAATACTAATTTGTAAAAACAGTTATTCTTTATTCTAGCAAAGATAACTTGTATTTCTTAAATTAAAATAGTAATGAGCTTTTGGCATTAAGCCATCTTCAGTGCTTAACTACAATAAGTTTGAGAGTAAAATTATATTATATAAAATGATTTGAAAATTACAGTTGTTAAAAAGATTACAAATTTTAAATAGAACCCCATTAGGAATACGAAGTGATTCTGTCTTAATCAGTGATATTAGCATGGGTTTTCTTTGTAATTGGAAATTAAAATAAATATGTATATTAAAAATTAAAAAAAAAAATTTATTTCTTTTTAAAAAATTCGTAATCTTTAAATCATGTTTTATATTTATTATAAATAAGCACTGAAGAGCTTAGAGCCGAAAGTGCTTTGCTTTGGCTATTACAAAAAAAATTGAACCACATATTTTCTTTGTTGATCAATATAACATTTTTTATTCCCTCTGATATCCAACCAATTCTCAAAAATACATTTTTCTTTCGATTTGATCGTAAATGATCACAAGACACCTAAAAATAACGATTTTAAAATATAATAAAAATACCAACAAAATGAATATAATATTTTTTATTTTCGCGTATACGTTAGCGTATACCTAGATACTCCGTTAAATTTTATGAGTTCTGTCAGATTAGTTGTAACATGTGTTGCACACATTTTGAATGCTTATAACGTATTCTTGAATACAATTGTGATATTATACTACATATATATTTTTAAGTAGTAAATGTGAGGGAATTAAAAGGTCCCTAAAATACAATAGATGAGATCGAAAATTGGCAACGCTGGCTAAGATAATAAACAGACTCCTGTCTAGATTGAGCATGGAACGAAGGAGGAGATGATTGTCGCAGCTATATTTCTTAGAAAAATTCCGTATCTGTGACCTCCGAGTGCGCGACCAACATCGCTTGATCTAACCGCTAGAACGCCTAAATTGAGGACCCAACGACTTTCGGCCCTTTCTTGTTTACAGACAGCTAGCAATGTCAGTGCTTATGATTATGATTATGATTATGATTATGATTATGATTATGATTATGATTATGATTATGATTATGATTATGATTATGATTATGATTATGATTATGATTATGATTATGATTATGATTATGATTATGATTATGATTATGATTATGATTATGATTATGATTATGATTATGATTATGATTATGATTATGATTATGATTATGATTATGATTATGATTATGATTATGATTATGATTATGATTATGATTATGATTATGATTATGATTATGATTATGATTATGATTATGATTATGATTATGATTATGATTATGATTATGATTATGATTATGATTATGATTATGATTATGATTATGATTATGATTATGATTATGATTATGATTATGATTATGATTATGATTATGATTATGATTATGATTATGATTATGATTATGATTATGATTATGATTATGATTATGATTATGATTATGATTATGATTATGATTATGATTATGATTATGATTATGATTATGATTATGATTATGATTATGATTATGATTATGATTATGATTATGATTATGATTATGATTATGATTATGATTATGATTATGATTATGATTATGATTATGATTATGATTATGATTATGATTATGATTATGATTATGATTATGATTATGATTATGATTATGATTATGATTATGATTATGATTATGATTATGATTATGATTATGATTATGATTATGATTATGATTATGATTATGATTATGATTATGATTATGATTATGATTATGATTATGATTATGATTATGATTATGATTATGATTATGATTATGATTATGATTATGATTATGATTATGATTATGATTATGATTATGATTATGATTATGATTATGATTATGATTATGATTATGATTATGATTATGATTATGATTATGATTATGATTATGATTATGATTATGATTATGATTATGATTATGATTATGATTATGATTATGATTATGATTATGATTATGATTATGATTATGATTATGATTATGATTATGATTATGATTATGATTATGATTATGATTATGATTATGATTATGATTATGATTATGATTATGATTATGATTATGATTATGATTATGATTATGATTATGATTATGATTATGATTATGATTATGATTATGATTATGATTATGATTATGATTATGATTATGATTATGATTATGATTATGATTATGATTATGATTATGATTATGATTATGATTATGATTATGATTATGATTATGATTATGATTATGATTATGATTATGATTATGATTATGATTATGATTATGATTATGATTATGATTATGATTATGATTATGATTATGATTATGATTATGATTATGATTATGATTATGATTATGATTATGATTATGATTATGATTATGATTATGATTATGATTATGATTATGATTATGATTATGATTATGATTATGATTATGATTATGATTATGATTATGATTATGATTATGATTATGATTATGATTATGATTATGATTATGATTATGATTATGATTATGATTATGATTATGATTATGATTATGATTATGATTATGATTATGATTATGATTATGATTATGATTATGATTATGATTATGATTATGATTATGATTATGATTATGATTATGATTATGATTATGATTATGATTATGATTATGATTATGATTATGATTATGATTATGATTATGATTATGATTATGATTATGATTATGATTATGATTATGATTATGATTATGATTATGATTATGATTATGATTATGATTATGATTATGATTATGATTATGATTATGATTATGATTATGATTATGATTATGATTATGATTATGATTATGATTATGATTATGATTATGATTATGATTATGATTATGATTATGATTATGATGATTATGATTATGATTATGATTATGATTATGATTATGATTATGATTTATGATTATGATTATGATTATGATTATGATTATGATTATGATTTATTTATGATTATGATTATGATTATGATTATGATTATGATTATGATTATGATTATGATTATGATTATGATTATGATTATGATTATGATTATGATTATGATTATGATTATGATTATGATTATGATTATGATTATGATTATGATTATGATTATGATATCACCTTAATACGTCTATAGCCTGGCAACACTGCAACCTGCGGCTTATTGTATCACCATTTGAAGATCCCACTTACTTTTCCCATGCACTAATTCACTCTCTTATTCATCGTAATTCAGTCCACGTCGTCGACTGTTAAACGATATTATGTTAAGTCCTATGGTGACACGGCCCTTGGTGGAACCTTCCAGTGGTCACCCATCGACGAGGTGACCGGAGAGATTACTGTTTAATTCTGGCGAGTATGTAGATGCACACTAATCTCCCGGCTAGCCTCTCCGGCAAGTGTACCGGTTAAAAAATATTCAAATGTTTTTTTTTGTAAATATCCAAAATTTTACACAAAATATAAAATTTTCTAAGATTATTTGTAAGGTAAATTAATTTCAAATATAATTTTACGGAACTCGCAAAGCCGGCCACCAGATGGTATTTTGGGATATATTTGCGCATATTTCTAAAGAATCATATTGTATGGTAGATGACACTTTGACTTAAACTAATTATACAAATTAAATTAAATATAAAATTTAAAGAAACTCGCAAATTTGGTCACCGTATTTATATTTTAAGGTATATTTGTGTTTAATTCTAAAGAATCATCTGGTGAGGTAGATAATTACCATCGGTGCTCGGAGTTTGGACTATTATCTATTAGGTAATGTACTATGAGGTTACATTTCTTCAAATCATTAACAAATTAAATATTTGATCATATTTTTTTGAAAATTGATTGAAGAATGTCAACTTACAGATATTTTTAAATATCAGAAATTAAATAACAGTTTGTGAAGTATCGCACAACTCTATTAGACATTCATTATAATTTATTAATAATATGCTACTAACAGATGATATGTTTAGAAATCGTTTGTGACTTAGACTGTCAGTATATTATTGGCAAGACCGCTAATATCACACTTCAATTGCTGTTTAATTAGAGTCACTGTCACGAAATCGATCTCTTAAAATAAATGCGCATGAAATTAAATTGAAAAACAAACAGCTTACCGAACTGACACTTTTCGGAGAGACTTGTCCGGCGGTGCAATCATTTACTTGTACGAGGTTGTTTGAAGATTTTCTAGAAATTGTACCAAGCTCTGCTTTGAAACCCCCCGCTGGATCATCCGTTTCTAGCGCTCTCGTCAAATATGCTATATACGAGGTGGCTAACCTCAATGTTTTTATCTGAAACAAAGCATAACATTCATAATTGCCTATCTTATTTCATCATAAAGTATTCAAATATTTAATTGGGAAACGAAAATGCCGTAAATAAGTCACCGAATTGGTTTTAAATGTGCTATAATATTTAATGGGTATTACCTATACATAATCTTTTTTATAAAATATATTTAAAAATTTTTATCACTTCTACTCATTTCTTTCTAGTGTCATAACTAATGAACCAACCAGTATTTTTTTTTATGTTTCACATGTTTCACATGTTTTTCTCCCAGTTCCCAAAGGAATAATGTACTAGCCAGTATTTCAGTTTCAAACAGCAGCAATCGCATCAATCAAAGAAATAAAGGTTATCCTTAATCACCCCCAGATTCGGTTTAAATTTTTCTTGGGTACTATAAAAACCAACATAAATAAGACTATAACAATATTAATATTAAAATAATGATACTGTCCCTAATTCACCGTCTTACGAGTGAAAACCCCACCCAGCATCATCGAAACGGTAACGCATGGCGATTTTTATAATCTGAATGTCATATCTTTAGAAATTAAATTTTTTTAAATCTTATAGAGAACCATGCAAATAAATTGACAGGATTCAAAGCAGGGTATCTCTCAATCACAAACTTGCTCGCATATTTTAGACACCTACGTCACCGATCCTTTGACTATTCATATGAAGCGAGAACAAGAGAGACAAAGCAGAAGAAGGGCGTTGGCAATCCTACTATTCTTCGCGACCATAGATTTAGGTAATATTTTGGTAATTATTTATTTTATTGTCTTGAAATTTGAAGGTGGTGTTTTGTAGTGACAAATTAGAATGTTATTATCAATTTTAAGATTAAATAAAGAGGGCGCCACTTACACCAAAACAGATGTACAAAACTATCCGTATTATTTTATTCTTGACGTGTTTATTTTTATCTAATCTTAGAATTGATAATAACATTATAATTTGTCACCACATAAACATCAGCCTACCAAATTTCAAATCAATACGTTGAATATTAACCAGAATATTGCAAAAAACAATAAATAAATTTTATTTTTAACACACTGGATCTCACTAGTAGGTGTAGGTGTTATTTAGCAAGATATTAATATTTTGTGGTCCTGAGTCTATAATAATATACTATTTAGTTTTTAAAAAGAAAAATGCATATACGAATAATTTAATTAATGTAAGATTAATCATCTTCTTCAACTGTATAGCATTTTAAATTAGGGTGTTCATAAACAATAAGGATTAAAGTATTTAAGTGATTATTGATTTCAAATAAAGGTTTTATAATTACCGGGATTATAGAAGAAGTACTAAGACTAAGATTAAGTAGGTACAGGTGTGTAACACATCAACCTCCTCTTGCTCTGTTTTATGAGTGTAGCCTTACAATTAATTAGTAATATTGAAAGATCAAGGTAGGCAACACATTTTTCACATCGTTTTGCGCGACCTTATCGCTATTTAGCCAGAAGGGGACCTAGCAAAAAGTTGTGCTTCGAGAAGGTCAGAGAATTATTTTCTTGCGCGCTTTGACCGATCATTTTAGACTAGATTTTCAACAAGTTGTTTCTTGGTTTTAATAAGTAATTTTGTTAATAAGCAAGATTAATTTGTGCCTGCAATTTAGGTAGGTAAAACCTATTTTTACTATTTATTATAATCTTATAACGGCTACGGTCGATATTAGGTCCAGTAATTTTGTCACTTTTTCCATAAAGATTAAGTAAAACCATAATATTTTTACACTTTTTAATCTTCTATAAGTGTGCACTAACCTAATTAAAGTAACAAATATTATTAAAACACATTTGTAAGCTAAAAAGTTGAGAATATGCGTTTATTCACTACATTCTCACGTAGCCATATTGTTTTTAATTTTTTCGATTTGACAGTCACACTAAGAGCGCCTGTGCGTGATTTTAGCGATGTTGCCAATTGCTTTTTGTTATTTGTTATAAATAAATATATTTATGGTAATACCGTTCTATATTATTTTTTATGAATAATATGACAACTGATATTTTTATTTCTATAAATGTGGAGTTGTCAAACATAGTAAAAGAACGTACATAACAGGAATGACAGTGGCTGTTTTTTCAATAGCTCCAAGCCAAATGATAAAACCAGAATATAAATGTGTTTATATGAGAATTTTCATTTCAATTATTCAATTTGAGCTGTGTCCAGGCCGTTGGAGTCTATGCCGGTCGGCGTAGCCAGGTATGGGTTGATGTTTTTAGGTGGCGGCGAAGCCGCCACTCTACGACTTATCGTAGGGTGGCGGCTTCGCCGCCACCCTACGATAAGTCGTTGCTTCGTTTTCTTGTTGCATATTTATGGATCGGTATGCGCAATCACAATTTTCCATTAACTACGAATTTGATCACAATCCGGCAACGTTGTAATTATATTTTCTAAATTTGACAGAAACCAACGAGTTTCCATGTTTACAGTCGTCAAAATGCTGATTTTTATAGAAATTAAATAATTTTTTTTGGCTTAAATAATGCATTTACCGCATAGAAATAATATAGAAGACCAATATAAATATAACATCCAAGCAGAAATTGAAACCTACTGTGCATAAAAACGCGTCTCTGCGCCTGACATCTCAAAATAGTGTGTCTAGAAGCTTGCGCAGTATGCATGACTTGTCTTTGAAGTGTTGCCAAGTATATTAAACATACCTAACACAAAAGAATTTTAAATTAATTTATTTTTAAATTACATGATTTAATCAGTTTATATCTACGAAATATCGCCCCAAACTAATTTATAAACATTTAAATAATCAACTATAATAGTAGTAATATTTATGTGTAATTACATTCCCAAAAATATATACAAATACGGTATTAATGTACAACAAGCGATTCACCTACAAATTCAATATTGACCTGGCAACACCACTTTAATCCGGTGTTTCAAGGCTCTATGACGGTGCCGTTACAGGACCGTTTGTGATATTTTGGCTTCAATTTGTATTTTATTATTTAATTACACGACTTTTTAGTTTCGTGTAGTGTTAAGTTAAATCCTAGGTACAATAAAAGACATTTTTACATTGGCTAATGAAAATGTAATCAATGTATTTAGCAGCTGTTATATTTATTACAAGATTTATGTCTAGAAATTCAAACCTACCTAAGAATTATAATTATGTAAATAGAGAGCTGTATATTTATATACAGGCTGTCCAGCGACGGGGAGACGTTATCGGTATCTGACAAAATAATGAATGATTTTTTGTTAAAAATAGTAAACAGGCTATGATCTTTCCATCTAAAATATTTTGACAGTTCTGTTATTTCCTTTTTATTTTAAATGAGATGCCACTTCTATTATTCCTGATAGCGATGGAACATGAAATGTTGCTTATTTGGAATATATACCTTTACACAACGCTCATGACGTCAGAGACAGTTTCAGTCGGGTATAATTTAAAATAAAGAATTTTAAAACGAATCGTATTAATTTGTACCTGTACCTAACATTTATGGCATCACTAGCCGAGTTGGCATCGGGTATATTTTCAAATATAGAAATTGAAAATTAACCCTATTAAATTGTATACTTTTAAATGCGGGTTTCAAGGCATTTTAAAATATAAACTCGATCTCAACGAACTTAGAAACTTCTGTCACTCGATATTTTAATCGTTACTTCCTCTTCGCTTTTTGGCCGGCACAACAATTATTTACATTTCTTCATTCTTTACCGCGTGCGAACCAGTACGGTTTAAAGAAATTTTAAAAAACCTACTTTAAAAATCTGATGTGTCCAACACATGACTTTCCTATCTAGTTATTATAGGCATTTTCCGGTTATTTTGTACAACCTATTGCAGCATCTCTATAAATGTTTAGAGAATAAACTAAATATATACATTTTACACATACATCTACCTCGAAACATTTTTTTATAGATATTCATTGAAAACGAAAATACAGAAAAATTTAAATTTAGCACTTTTCCATTACGGTCCATTTTAGAAAAATCATGTATAAACAAAAATTATAGAAATCGATATCGCAAACAACTTTTAGTTCAACAATTTTCATAAAAATCAGAATTTTGCACATTTTGTCAAATTTCTCGAATACGGACCATTTCAGAAAATTTTGACATAAAGCAAAAATTATAGATAAAAATATTAGAAGTAACTTTTATTTGAACAATTTTCTTCTCCAAACATAAATAACAGATATATTCCATAAAATATAAAAACGGCCTCCCATAAAGTACCCCCCCAGATGTTCCGACTTTGTCCAAAATCTAATCATTTCACGTCAGGCCGAAATAAACCTTAAGTTTAAAATTTAATGTTTTTTCCTTTATCCGTTTTTGAGTTTTCTTCAAATTTCGAAATTTACACATTTTCTCAAATATTTCGAATACGGTCCATTTTAGAGAAATTATGTATAGGACAAAAATTATAGAGAATTATATTACAAACAACTTTTATTTGAACAATTTTTATAAAAAATTATGTTTTTTACATTTTGTCAAATTTCTCGAATACGGACCATTTTAGGAAAATTTTGTATAAAACAAAAATTATAGATAATTATATTACAAGTAACTTTTATTTGAAGAATTTTCTTCTCCAAACGTAAATAACAGATATATTCCATAAAATATAAAAATGACCACCTATAAAGTACCCCCCAGATGTTCCGACACTGCCCAAAATCTAATCAGCTCATTGGACGCTGAAACAAAGCTTAAGTTTAAAATTTGGTGTTTTTCTGTGTATCGGTTCATGAGTTATGCGTTATACAGACACACACACACACACACACACACAGACACACAGACACACACACACACACACACACACACACACACACACACACACACACACACACACACACACACACACACACACACACACACACACACACACACACACACACACACACACACACACACACACACAGACATCATCGCGAAAATAGTCAAAACGGATTCAGGGGACCTCAAAACGTAAAAA